AAATGCATTATTGATGTTTTGACATATTTTGGTAAGGGTTGGAAAATATGAGGAATAAGAACATAAAGAAACAGTGTTCCATACTTTAAATTTTTAAGTTTATACTCAGCTGCATCATTACATCTTCTTTTTTTTCTGGGTCATAATTATTGTGATACCATTTGAGCAAATTTGCCCATCAAAAGACAGGCTTGCTTAAACAAAACAAACTTCTGAATGAGAAATGATACAACAGGTTACAAAAAATGTGTTGAGCTAATTTTCTTGGAACTGTTTCAGAGCAAAAGAGTCCTCAAGTTCATCTTCCATGGAATTGAGTGGGTGTGAAGTACGTGATGCTTGAGAAAGAGAATGTCTAGGAGGAAATGAAATAGTTCAGCAATTATCTTGCCAATTAAAAAAGTAAGAATTTTCTTAATTTTGTAGAAATACTTCATTAGCTTGAAGGAAGTGCTAGTTAAAAGCTACCACCATCATCAACAGCTAAGCAAAAACCAGAACCAAAACTTAGTAGAAGAATATGGTAACAGATTTTATTCTAATGTGGTAAAATATTCATAACATAAAAATTCCCACTTTAACTGTTTTTATGTGTACAACTCAGTAGCTTTAAATATGTTCACAATATTGTGTAACTATCACCACTATCTATTTTTAGAACATTTAATCATCTCAAACAGAAACTCTGTACCCACTAAACAATAACATTCACTCTCCCTTCCTCACCAGTCCCTGGTAACCTCTATTCTTTCTGTCTCTTATGAATTTGCCTATTCTACATACATCATATAAGTGGAATCATACAATATGTGCCCTTTTGTGCCTGGATTATTTCACTTAGCATAGTGTTTTCAAGGTTGTACTTCTTGTAGCAGGTATCAGATTCCTTTTTACGACTGAATAATATTCCATTGTGTGAGTGACAAACACTACACTTCGTTTATCCATTCATCTGCTGATAGACTCTTGGGTTGCTTCTATCTTGTGGCTAGTATGAATAATGCTACTATGAATGTTGGTGTACAAATACCTGTGTTAGTCTTTGTTTTCAGTTCTTTGGAATTGCTGGATCACATGACAATGATATGTTTAACTTTTTGAGGAATGGCCAAACTATTTTCCACAGTGGCTATATCATTTTACATTCCCTCCAGCAGTGCACAAGGGGTCCAATTTCTCCACATCCTCATCAACACTTATTATTTTCTGTTTTGGTTTTCTGATAGTAGCTGTCCCAATGGGTGTGAAGTGATATGCCACGGTGGTTTGGTTTGTACTTCCCTAATCACTACTGATGTTGAATATCTTTTCATGTGCTTATTGGCTATTTGTGTGTCTTCTTTGGAGAAATGTCTGCTCAAGCTCGTTGTCATTTTTAAAATTGATTGTGTTGTTGCTATTGAGTTGTACTTCTTTATGTATTATGGATATTGATCCCTTATCAGATATGTGATTTGCAAATAATTTCTCCCATTCTCTAGATTGTCTTTTCACTCTTTTGATTGTATCCTTTGATGTACAATTTTTTAAATTTTGGTGAAGCCCAATTTATGTATTTTTTCTTTCATTTTCTGTGCTTTTGGTGTCATATCCGCCACCACCCCCAAAAAACTCATTGCTGAATCCAATGTCATGAACTTTTCCTGATGTTTTCTTCTAAAAGTTTTATAGTTTTAGCTCTTAAATTTAGGCTTTTGATCTATTTTGAGTTAATTTTTGTATAAGATAAAAGCCCAATTTCATTCTTTTGTATGTGGATATACAGTTTTCCCAGCACAGTTTGTTGAAGAGACTTCTTTCTTCATGGAATCGTCTTGGCACCCTTGTGAAAAATCAATTGACTACATATGTGAGAATTGGGCTTTCTATTCTATTCTATTGGTCTCATGTTTCCCCTATGCCAGCACCACACTATTTGGATTACTGTAGCTTTGTGGTAAGTTTTGAAATCAGGAAGTATGAATTGAGTTCTCCAACTATATTCTTTTTCAAGATTGTTTTGCCTATGTGGTATCTCTTGAGATTTCATGTGATTTTTATGATGGTTGTTTTTATTTCTACAAAAAGTATCATTGGGATTTTTATAGAAATTGCATGAATCTATAGAACTCTTTGGATAGTACTGTCATCTTAATGATATGAAGTCTTCTTATTATCTACGAACATGGAATTCTATGAACATGGGATATCTTCCCATTTTTTTAGGTCTTCTTTAATTTCTTTCAGCAATGTTTGTAGCTTTCATTGTATAAGTCTTTTGCCTCCTTGGTTAAACTTATTCCTAAGTACTTTATTCTTTTTGATGTTATTGTAAATGGAAATGTTTTCTTAATTTCTTTTTCAGATTTTCCATTAATAGTATATAGAAATACAACTGATTTTTGTGTTTTGATTTTGTATCTTTCAACTGTGTTTCATTTGTTTCTTAGCTCTGACAATTTTTTTGGTGGAAGCTTTAGGGTTTTCCACATATAAAATCATGCCATCTGTGAAAAGAGTTAATTTCACTTCTTGAGAAATACTTTTACTTCTTTTCCAGTTTGATACTTTTAATTTTTTTTTCTTGCCTAATTACTCAAGCTAGAACTTCTAATACTATGTCGAATAAAACTGTTGAAAGCAATTAAAAGCAGTGGTCAAGCTTCAGAACCCATAACTGATATTTTGAAGGACAACGTCCTTAGTATCCACCCTGGCTCTAGCAAGCTGCACCAGAAACTCAGTATGCCACCCTCACAGCACCAGCCACAAAGATTGGGGATGGAGGATGGTAGCCACTACCATAAGGGAAAGGTTGAAATTCATTGAAATTTACCAGCTCTCCACTGGGTGTTCCAAGGTTTCTACTAGAGTCCAGAGTTCCAAAATAGTTACTTCAGACAGTTCCTGCCAGTTCAGTAGTTGTTTAGAAGAAATGATGTATTCCTAGAGCTTCCTATTCCATCATATTCTGTGTTGGATTTCTTTTTGCCTGTCCACCCCTTCTAGCCTGATATATTTTTGTTTCAATAAGGTCAAGGCCTTGGGGTAAATTCTTTGTGGGACAGTTGGCTTCCTTTTGTTTCAAAGTCACAGATTTACCACTGATCTTGGTTGGCCATGTGACAGACACATTTGTGTAATTCAAAAAACCTTGAGGGTGAGTATAGAGAGAATACAGTTACATTTTCTTTGCTTCTGAAATTGATATAAATCCAAATTAGGCAAAATTTTTTGAATTTATATAAATTATTTACATTTAAAGGCCATGAATTATTCATTTAAAATATCTTTTTTGTGTGTGTGTGATAAATCAGTGAAACAGTATTTCAGAAACAACCATTTTGTTTCATCTGTTTCTTTTTTTTTTTTTAAGATTTTATTTATTTATTTGACAGAGAGAGAGAACACAAGAAGGGGAAGCGGGAGAGGGAGAAGCAGACCCTCCTCTGAGCAGGGAGCCCAATGCGGGGCTCAATCCCAGGATTTGGGGATCATGGCCTGAGCCAAAGGCAGACGCTTAATGACTGAGCCACCCAGGCACCCCTCATCTGTTTCATAACCAACTTTGTCAGTCAAGTCTTAGCTTAATGAAAAAAAAACCCAAACTTTTGTCCTGTGTCCTACATTTTTACCACCTTTTGCATCCTGTCTGAATAATCTTAAATTTAGAATGTTTAAAAAAAATCAGTAAGCAGACTATATCACGTTTCTTCCTAGGAAGCAGTTTATAACTTTTAGAACTTTCACAAAAATGGTCAGTCTTGGGGCTTTCCACTTGATGATAAACTACTTATTTAAAATTTCAAAAAGGGTGCCTGGGTGGCTCAGTCAGTTAAGTGTCTGCCTTTAGCTCAGGTCATGATCCCAGGGTCCTGGGATTAAATCCTGTGTCGGGCTCCCTGCTCAGCGGAGAGCCTGCTTCTCCCTCTCCCTATGCCTCTCCCCTCTCCTCCACTTATGCTCTCTCTCTGGCTCTCTTTCTCTCTCTCAAATAAATAAATAAAATCTTTAAAAAAATTTTTTTCAAGAAAATGCAATGTTTCTAGCAGCTTCATTTTGAATTGCTAATCTTTACCACATTCTAGGTGTGGGTTGGCTATCTAATTATTGATATCTGCATCAAGATATTCTTAATCCATGTTTTACTTCTGAAAAATAATAAAGTAGATGTTTAGGGGTTAATATTGTGTTTAATGAAAACTTTTGTTTTTATTTTTATTTATTTTTAAAATTATCATTATTTTTTAAGTAGGTTCCATACCCAGCATGGAGCCCAATGCAGGGCTTGAACTCACAACCCTGAGATCAAGACCTGAGCTGAGATCTAGAGTCAGACGCTTAACCAACTGAGCCATCCAGGTGCTCCAATTTTTGTTTTTAAAGAAAGAATTCCACCCATCATGTAATGAATATACATCCTTGTGACAAAATGAGCAGATTTTCTCCTCTAAGAGGACCTTTCTGAAGTTGAAGAAAACCAGTATTGTTGAGGCTGGGCATCAAGGATCTTTTGTCACTCTTTTCTATGTTTTTCTGGAGAACTTTCTAGAGAAAGCCTTCTAGAACTTTCTGCTTCCCAGCCTTGAGGAGATTCCCTTTTAGGTTTAGCCTCTCACTTTTCTTCTGGCTAAACGAACAAAGCTCTGTGAGAACTGTGTCTTTTGAATCCAAGAAAAAAAAGACACTCCAAGCACTGAATATAGATAATGAGGGGAATCAGTTACAACCCTCAAGAAAAGGTTTCCAGCATGAAACTGTCCTTTTTAGTGCCTGCCATTTCTGTCACTCTAGGTTGGGATTGTCTGCTGAGGGACCATTGGTTCAGCTGCTTCCCAGAGGGAACCCGAGCTTTCCAGCCCAGGTAATGGCCTCCTGCTTGCTCTTCACACAGCCCCTTCTGAACCAGCCCTGAGGCAAACAGCTGTTTCACTTCTCCCCTTCTCTGCAGGCCAGCCTGTCTCTGCGTTTCTCACCATCACCCTTTCGCCACCCCCCCTTCCTCACCCCTCTCCCACATGTGTCCCTTTCTTCCCTTCCTCTGTGTCTGCTCTTCTCAGAAGTTAGCTTACAAAGCAAAGTTGTAACTTTGAATTCCTGTTTTTCCAACTACCCTCATGTGACAGGATATCTCCTTATTGGAGGTTTTCCCTAATTTCAGAAGCCCTTTAAAAGTGAGAGCTTCCTCCACACCTCTTTTCAGCAGGGCAGCTCTGAGAACAGAGTAGCGGAAGGGGTGATTGGGTGCCTGCATTGTTTTGGTTCCTTCTTACCCCCTCCTCTCCATCAGTGCAAGCTAAGGATAAACTCTGGGACATGAGGCTGTCCCTGCTCCTGGTTTTCCTCTCTCTCATTCCGGTCGCCGTACAGCTGTTGGGTAAGTTGACTGAAGTGGAAGCTTTCTGACTTGGGGCCTGGGGGCGATGGCACACTTTCCCTTTTGGGTCAAGGTTAATGGATTCCTTTCAATACCTGTGGTGAGGAGGAAAGCAAAAGTCCCCTGCACCACCAGCTCTGCGGGGAAACCGGTTGCCTCCTCCTGGAAGCCAGGGACCAGGAGTAGGGAGGCTGCTTCTCAGGCCAGAGGAGCCACCTGGCCCCCAGCCCCACAGAACCCCCGTCTCCTCCTGACTTCTCTCATGTCCCATTGTTCCTTCCCTGCTCTGTTCTTAGAAGCATTTCCTCTGTAGTTTGTGTGTTCTGCTTTTCAATTCACAATATTCCTGTCTAACCACCAAGAAATATCTTCTGAAAGTTTTTGGCCAAAAGGAGGGAGGCACTGTTGTCTTTCTTCACGGTGGGTCTAAGGATCATAAATGATCCTCCAAAGATGGATTCCATGAGATTTTCACAATGCGTCTTTTTCTGTGAACAAACTTTTTAATCATCCATAGTTTTTTTACAGCTACAAAGTTCATCCTTATCAGTATTCTAAGTTGTTCAAACTGACTTACGCTTGTTTTCTTCCTCTTCCCCTCCCCGCCCCTCCCCGAGACTGATGATTACTCAGGAGGAACAGATTCACAGCTTTTCAATTCTCAAAGACGTTGTTGAGTCTCTCTTTTCTAGTTCTCTAGACTCAACCTATTTAACTTCAGAAAGAAAGTACCTTAGAATTTTCATTCCCCCCCTTTTTTTTTTTTGAAACGAGATCGAAGGGATCTCAACTTTGAACTTTTCATTCCTGATCCCCCTTCTTTTCTCCCAAATCAGCACAGGTCATCTGTGTGCAGTCTGTGCAAACGGCACTCCATACTCTCCATGTAATGGTGGGGGCAGGACTGGGAGCACAACAATAACACAGAAATGGCCACCACCAGGAGACTTCCAGAGAGGGTGCAGACCACAGAAAACATTAAATCATAATGAGCATTAAGTAGCAGTGATTATATGGGGCACCTGGGTGGCTCAGTCAGTTAAGCATCCAGCTCTTGATTTCAGCTCAGGTCTTGATCATGGGGTGGTGGGTTCAAACCCCGTGCTGGACTCCATGCTGGGTGTGGAGCCTACTTAAAAAAAAAAGAAAAAAGAAGCAGCAGTGATTATAAAAGCACAAGTGAAAGTCCCCTGCCCCTGCCAGGAACTTACTCTGTGTTGTAGTTTCCCTGTTTCTAAAATGGGGAGCATAATGTTACCTGCACCATGTTTTTGCAAGGATTCAGTGAGTTACAAAATGGAAAATGTTTAGAACATAGTGTGGCCCATAGGAATTGCTTCCTAAGTGCTAGCTATTAAAAGTAGTGACTTCTTGTTCCCACAGTAGTAACAAATTATCCAATAAAAGCAGTATATTAAGCATTTAAAGGAAAGATTTCCCATTAAAGGAGAGATTAAGCATTTAAAGGAGAGATTTCCCAAGAAACCATGCTGAGGTTCTTGGAGTCTGAAAAGGTATTTTGCCTTATTCCTGATTACAAAGCCTATCTCTCAATGAGTAAGGGGTGCTGAAGGAGGAGATGCTTTAATCCAAATGGGAGAAGACCACAGGCTGATGTTAGACATTAACACAGTGTTCATCTTGGAAGTCTGTCTTGTGGCCCCAAAGGTTAAAACTAAAACCAATGAAAATCTAAGAGTTGTACTGTCTCAAATAGAATAGTCTGCTTAGGAGTAAGTTCCCTGTCACTGGAGGTCTTCAAACAGAATCTGGATGAACAGTTCAAGGGCTCTGTGTGGGACCTGGATTTTAGCCCAGGCAGTCCAACAGAAACATCATTGGTTACTTTTTTTTTTTTTTTTTATTGCTGAACACCAATATGCCACTTTATTATTTGGATTTTTTTTCCCCATTTGTCACATACCTGTCAATATTTACACAATGAGGAAAATCAACCAGCAGTGGAAGCAACTGACCAAATCAGCTGATAATTCTGTACCCTCTTAACACACATCAATTCTTACTTGGTAGGGATATCTTTACTTTGATTCAGTCTCACAGCTATTCTTAAAATCGGTGTCAAGATTGTCACATCTTTAAATACAGATAGAATTGCCAGAAGTACATAATTTTATATATATATATATATGTGTATATATATATAATATATGTACACACACATACAGAAAAATACAAGACTAATTGTTTTTCCACAATATTTAATTTACACACTACTATAACTCTATGCAACTTCTGAAGACAGGTTAAGGGGTACAAGAAACTGTTTATAGCTAGTAAATAGTTTGGTCCAATATTGTCTTAATGTAATGGTTATTTGCTCCCTCCCTTTTGTGTGGCGACATACTATGACATGCAACACATGCACAATCATCCACTTATGAACAAATGAGTAAGACGCCACTCAGACTAACATCTGTATACCCAAAGGGTCAACCAATCACACACAACTAATAAGGCTAAAGAAAAGTAAAAAGAAACAGATGACACTGATTTTATGAATATATTTTATTTAACCCAATATATCCAAAATACCTCTAGTGAAGATTAATCAGTATAAAATGTATTGGGATATTTTTACATTTATTTTTTAAAAGTTAAATTTTCAAAATCCAGTGTGTATTTTGTACTTAGAACACATTTCAATTCAGACTGGCCTCATTCAAGTGTACAATAGACCCTTAGGGCTAATGGCTACCATATTGGGCAGCATAGATACTAATTTTCTTCAAACTGACTCTTAATGTTCTGGGGCAAGAAATGTTTCTCAATTTGCTTAGGAAAGTTTCCCTCCTTGAGACAGCAGGATGCCTTACTCTGATGAATGTCTTCCTCTTCATGGGCACAAATATGGGGGAAGCAGGGAGGTGCTGAAGATCTGTTTACTCAAGGAATAAAAAACAAACAAAAACGTGGGTGAGGGAACCCCTTCCGGAATTTTTTTCCTTGAGAGCCTATAATTCTGATTTTACCTCTTTCTTGGTACTTTGTTACTTTGTAACTTAGTACTAAGTAACTGGTACTTAGTAACAAAGCAGTAGAACAAAGGGTATATGAATTCCCTTACCCCCTGTACCCCCTGTCCTGGCTCCCGACCCATGAAGAAAACCCACAGAAAGGTCTCCCTACTTTCTGTGGTTTATTTTTTTTTTCAACCGAGAACTCTTTCTCCCACCTCTCCGAGCGCATTATCACATCATCAGCACTGTGAGCATCCATGTCATACTCGAGGGGCCAGGAGGCCAAGCTTAAAGGGGAGGGAAGTTCTTATCCTTTTCTTGCCCTGCTATCTGTTAGCAAGAAGAATTCGATTTCAAACTACCAATGTGATGTCACTGGAGGCAGAGTTGGAAAAGATGCCAACACTAGGACCTCACTAGCCAGTGAATGTAAAACAAATACAGTGAATTTGATCTCTGGCACAGTCTCATGCTGCATCCAACCTCCATGTTTTATAGGTAAGAAAACTGAAGTCCTGACAGGTTAAGTGATCTTTCCAGAGTCTCACAACTAGTTAATGGCATAACACATTTAGCACTCAGGACTCCTGACTCCCGATAGAGTATTCTTTCTATTAAACAGAAGCAATTCTTTTTTTTTTTTTTGCTGAATGAATGATTGGTTAATACCAATCTAGAATTTCTTCAAGAAACAATTCCCCACTGCCATTCCCTTCATCATTTTAATTTTCATAAAATTTTCCTTATGATATTTCTAATTTTCTTTATTTCTAGTCTCTTCATTTCTTCCTTTACATATGACTTCTTTTAGATGCCGGATTTAAGACATACTTTCTAAAGTTACTGAGCAAAACCAAGTTCTTGTCATCTTTCTTTTTTCCCATTGTTCTTATATTTGTCTATTTTTTGTGTTATTGTTCCAAACTTCATTTGACTTTTCTGAAATTGAGAAATGGAGATCTGTGTATGTAGGATATTGCAGTTAAAGATAAGATGACAATTGCTTTGTTACATGACAATTCAGTGCCTTGTGAGGGTGCTGAACCTAATTTCTCAGTAGGAGGAGTCATCATTGGTTAAATGTGAACTTTACAGAGTCAAATGTGCTCAACCTCAGTTAAAGACAAAGACCCTTGTCTTCAAAAGGGAACTAGAGAGCACAGGCATCCTTCAACACTCAGATCTGGCCGGTGGGACTGCAACATGAGCAGCTAAGGGAGAACTAAGAGGTCACCGAGGCCACAAGAAGAGTGGAACAAAAGAAAGTAGCTTCTGAAGTAGCATATTTCCATGGCAGAAAGGGAGTCAAACTGATGTCAAAATGAGACCACTAATGTCCTCTTGCCTCTTGGCTACCATCAAGCACTGTTGGATGGAAACATCATGTGGTTAGTTTGGTCCATAGAGGAGACTAGTGGAAATCAGTCAGAACAAAAGTGAGGGTAAAGTAGGTAAGAAAGCAAGTACCCTTTCAAAAAGAATTGAAACTGACCTCGAAAGGAGAAAGTATTCGAAGACAAATTTGTCCACTTAAAAACCAAGCTAAAGTCACAGAGCCCATTCAGATCCTTAGTCCCATTCATTAATCATCTTCAGATCCTTAACAATAGCCCCATGAGGTAAGATGGGTAGATGTTACCATCCACATTTTACGGCATGAGAAAACAGGCTCAGAAGTCAGCTAGCCAATAAGGACCAGAGCTGATTCTTGACTATTGTCTTCTGGCTCTGAGGCTAAGAGTTTGCCAGCTGAAGTGTGTTGACAAGGAAAGACATAAAATGTGTTCAAAACAACAGTATGTCAAAGAAGGACTTAGTCCCTCTATTTGTATCAACTGTTTAGACTTTTCACTCGGGGAGGAGAAAGAGGGCATTACTCCTGGAATGTTTACTATATGCAAAATGATATGCTGGGTGTTTTATATAAATTATCTCATTTAGAAGTTCATAGCAACTCTATCATGGAGCATTATTATCCCTATTTTACAGATGAGGAAATCGAGGCAGGAATGATTAATTTAA